TATATATATATATATATAGTGATGAGGATGATTATTGTGGGAATGCTCATCTAGGGCTTAAAGATAGAGTCATGAATAGACGTTGTTTTGCTTCTTCATTTAATTTAAAAAGAATAAAAGTGGAGTGCTGTGGGGCGGAACTTCACGTGGCTTTATTTTATATAACTGAATTTCTCGAAGTCTGGTCATGTTTAAGTAATTTTAGTGTAATCTCTAGTTACACCAATTCACTCCCACTCTACTGTTAATAACGTGCACATAAATTTGATTAAAAAAATTATCCTTTCCAGCAAGAATATCATGCTGCTATTAAAAGTCTCCCAGTGGTTGCAAATCAGTGCGCATGGGAAGTTTTGTCTGGGTCTTTGTCTCCATGGCAACAAAACATCAAGTGTTTTGTAAAAAGACAAGGAGTTAAGTTGAAGAAGTTACATAACTTCCTGTCCGACTCGTGCAGGAGCGGGTGGACCGAGAGTTTTTTTTTTTTTTTTCCACATTCCCACTGAGGGATGAACACATTACATATCAGAACTGAAAGGAGCCGGTCTGTTTGCATGTAACGCAAGTGCATTTTTTAACTGCAAGGCCACTTATTAAATGCAAATGAACCAGTTTAACATGAAAACACAGACATAAAGTTTCAACCCAGGACAGGAGAATCACTTGGACTTAAAAATAAATGCCCATTAAACCAGCTTTTGGCTTTTGACCCTGTGAGAAAAAAACAAAACACGTTATGGTGGGAGTAGCAAAGTTGGTTGTTTATATACAGGAAAAGTCATTTCCTGATTCACCTTCAGATGCCATCACTAAAATAGCCAAGCTGTCAGACAGTTTTTAAAACTGTCAACACTGCAGGAGGTTTGTCGTCTTTAACTTAAAGCCAAGAATTCTTGGTAGATTTTAGATATGTTCTGCACATGCTTATTTCCAATATCACATGCATTTATAAACGCTTAATAGCATTTCTATTCCACAAAGTCACTCGCTTAATTTTCCAAGCCCTCTATCTATTGGCTGCCTGCTGAGAATAAAACAGACCTATTATGTATCCAAACCTCTGGAGCTGAAATCCGCTAAAGATAGCCTTTTATCAGTCTGGGAAGTTAGAAAATGACTTATTAACGCTGGTGGAAGCTGGAATTTTAAGTGACAATACAAATGATATTTTGTGTCTGGTCTGAAGGAGAATTTAATATAATAATCCCTTCCCAGAGATCATAACTGCATTTTTCATTCTTCAACATTGTCGACGGTGTCAGAGGAAAAGGAGGATGGTTTTCATCAGAAGTGACAGTGCTTGGACTGCTCTTTGAGTAATGAGGACCGAGGCTTTTTTCTAACTGTTCAGTCTGGTTCACAGGCTCACACTGGTAGATCAATAGAGGCAGGGAGAGAGAGAGACCAGCATCTATCGATCAGTGGTGCATTGGCTGCGATCCCGCACAGAATCATCGAGCATTCACACTGTCCATTGACACAGCTATCATAAGTCACAGTGAAGGTCGAGGTCATAAATAATGCAACAATGCTTTTCTTACCACAGTTTTGAGCAGCCACACAAGGGGTTAAATGCGGACTGGAACTGCTTGTTCCCCTATCAGTCCATATCAAAAAAGCACTACGACAAATTCAATCTGATCAACTTCAGGCAGTTAATATGTCATAATCATAAGCTATCAAATACTAAAATGGCAAACCTGTTTACTGATAAGCAAAAATATTGTGTCCACCGTGTCTATGTTTCTGCTTATGCTGCCTTCATAGCTACCAACATCTTTATCTAAACCATTCCTTTGACCTTGCATAGTATGAAATGGACCAAGTCCATGCAACAGTACATGAATGCTGGTGAAGAGTTAACATTGTTGCTAGAAATATCTACCATCTGTTGTTCCTGAGGTGGCCCATTAGCTCTCCTACAGGGGACTCTTTGCCTTATGTGCTGGGCTACTGAAGGAAAAAACCCTCACTGGCTCTCTGTCATTCAGTGTTTGTCCTCTGCCTCCGTGTGTTTTAAAGGGATTGTA